TCTATTTTGAAAGTTTTAGAAGATTGATCGAACCATTAGACTTACGTTTGATATGTCAATCTATAATGTACAATTTTAATACTATATTTAAAATATTAATTTTATAAAATCGACTTTTTAAGATAAAATTTACAATTTTATATATTATAATACGGTGAAGGAAGCATTTACGAGATGGTGGCATCACATATACCTCACATTACATTATTTTTAGTTGCATTTGGTATTATGACAAAAAGGATGGCAATGGTGAATGGATTATTCTGTTTGGCATTTATACGGAAAGGGTGATTCATGCCACAGAATTTCAGATTCCGACGAAAAGAAAGGTATAAACATCATTCTGATGTGAAGTTACATCATGAATGAATCAGCGCTTTCTGTAGTAGTTATCAATTGTTTTTGCTTCTATTTGATAATTTTATTTTTGTCACGTCTACACTCTTTTTGATACAGTGCATGTATTTGGCTTATAGTATTTTTGATACAGTGGAGGATAATGCACATTCGAGATTGGGATGAATCCATATACATATATATATATATAAAGTACTTTTTTTGTTTGGTTTGGTGTGATTAAAAAAAAACTAAAATCTTAAGAAATGAGTTAAGTTTAATATAAAATAAATTAGTTCAATAAGTATTTTAAAAAGTGGTATAAAATAATTTTTAAACCAAAGCACATGATAAAATCTTCTTTACAAATAAGATATCATAGCATAATATTGTTTGGTAAAAATAAATAAAAAGGAGGTTTGGTATATCCTCAACGTTATATAGCCTACAAAATAATTGAAAACTCTGTTTCTTCTCTACCTTAACAGTAGATAATCAGGTTTATTATTGTGTATTATATGTTTTAAAATAATAGTATAATAGTAAATAAAAGTTAATAATTAAGAATGAAAAAAATATCTGTTTTCGTAACTATTTATAGATAAAATTTATAAAGATAATTTGGTGTAACATACCAAAAATATAATAAAATACTATATAAAAAAGTTATCACATGTATTATATGATAAAACATTTAATTAAAATATAAAGTCTAACTTATAGTTATCCAAAACAACTATAAATTTAAACTTTATATACAGACGAAATAAAACAAAACTATCTACAGGTTAGACTAAACTAACTAAGCAACCGGATAATTCTCATCAAGCGTCTGCTTCACAGTGCTCATCTCCTTCTGCTTACACCCATAGGATGATTATAGCCAAACAAGAACATAGTCATATACAAAGACAAACACATACAGAAGGGTAAGCTAGATATAAAAGATTCATACATTAATTCATTCAGATAATACAATTAACTTCAAACATTCTAAACAAGTTATGACTTAGACTTGACTGTCCGGACTTAGAATGAATATTGAGCTATGATGAGTTGTGCACTTGTGGTGGCCTCTACTATTTTGCAAAATCATTGCCATGGGTTTCACCCTACCACTCATAAGGTTAGTCTGTTACTGCGCAATAAGCCTCCAAGTAGCGTCTATACTAGGACCTCCTACTACTCTCACCACATGAATCAATCATCTTTATTTGAGAATGAACGATCATTAGAGTGTTAGGATAACTCCCAATACTGAGCTCCTTGTATTCATTCTAATAACACTTAAACCGTATCGAAAAAGTTCCTCCCATGGAACCCATATAACCATCCGTGAAATCATTTGAACCAATATAATTATGCACACTTTCACAATTTCATGACACACATAACTTTTGATACTCACATAATACCCGTACATAGTCATACATCATATAGTCATACATCATATAGTCATACATAATCCATAATTAAATCAATTACATAACTCAACCAATAAAGATCAAATAATAAAAGAATACATGTTAATCTGAAACAGTCGCTTAACACACCTACTCGTTGAGCGACCACAGACTTTACTCGCACAACAACTCAGCTCGTTGTGCGAATAAAATTCCCAATGGTACCAGACATTGAATTCGCGCTCAACGACATCACTGGCTAAGTGAAACTCACCAGACAGTGGACCAGCCCCTCAACTCACTCGCTCAACTACCTCAATGCGTTGGTCGAATAGAATCACAATGCTCCCAGACCTAGACATCTCGCTCAACGACCCTTCTCGCTGTGCGAACCAATAAATAAGGAGTCAACCTCCACGACCACTCGCTGAGCGACTCAACTCGCTCAGCGAGTCTGCATAATCTGCAGAATTACGCAACCTACACCAAATTTACAAATTCCAACTATTTTTCCCAACTTCTAATCCTCTTAAATTGAGTTATACACCTAATTAGACTTGAAAAGTATTTCTAAACATTACTACCATCATTCTAAAGTGATTTCTAACAATTTCCCACTCCAAAACACACAATTTATCAACTTATGGATCTAAATCACATTCTACCACTTTTGACACTATTTTAAGCAACTTAGGGACTCTAACAAGTCCCAAATGACTTGTCCAAACTATCATAACAAACCAATTGATCATCTAACCCCTATTTCACATTTTCACTACTCCACTTCCTCAAAACTAGCCTTAAACCTTGGCAATATGACTTTCTTCCCAACCAACCAACCCTATCACAATTTCTAACATTCAACACAGCCCATAACATATAATTCATCATCCAATTCAGTTCATTTTTCACAGTTCATCAAAGGCACATTCCAAAACAGTCAAATCACGCATGATATAGTTACTCTAGAGTCTAAGTTTAGTTCAAACAACAAGATAACCAAGAATTTACACATACATATCCAATTACTAAATTAGAGTGTAACTCTAGCTTCCCTTACCTTAGGGAAACGCTGCACAGCTCTAGAAAACACTGATTGATGCTTGCACCACAAGGAAACTCTAGAAAACCCTACAAATCACCGATTGGTAATAGGAAATCAACCTTAGAACCTAAATTGAGCTAAGAGTTAAGAAAGAGAGACACAATTCTCATGCAAAAACAAAAAATCTGCATAATTACATATTTAAGGGAAAATCTAGAAAAGAGGAACGAAACTTACCGGCTCAAATCAAGAAATTGATCGGTAAGAATTGTAGCTCTCGTCGCTAGGATCGCCTAGACACTTCCTAATCGTCAAACAAATAGTCCAAGAGTGAGAAAGAGTAGAGAGAAGTGAGAGATAACGAAAAGGAAAAAGTTTATAGAGATAGACATTGTTTTAGATAATTTTATAAAATTCTATTTATATTATAAGATTATTTTAAAATAAAATACTCGGTCTCATTATTTTAATACATCTATTTACTCTAATATTCTATTTTCTAGGGATTCTCACATTTGGAATATTTAATATCTGTCTAGAAGTATTAAAATCAAATTTTAATTTTAATTTATTATTTGTAAAAAATTAAAATTAAAATTTTTTATATTTTATTAAATTAAATTTAATTAAAATTAAATTTTTATTTTTATTTAATTTAATTTATATTAAAATTATTTTCATTTAAATTTTATTTTAAAATTTTATAAAATATTTTTTTAAATATCCATAAATATTCATAATAATTTTTAAACTAGTATATGATAAATAATAAATATTTTTTTGTTATGATATGATAACGAATAAACATTATCATTGTTATCCTTACTAATAACATTGTTAGAATTTTGGATTTTATTTTATTATATAATAATAATAAGTTAAAGAGATAAGATTTCGAATGGAAAAATTTTATATTTTTTAAATTAAGGTTATTTTTTAATATTTATTAATTGGACATAAACGATCAAATATTAAAAATTTAAAATAAGTTCAAAATAATTAAAGTTAATACTATGAAAAGGAGTTGAAAGATATTTAAAAAAAACATTAAATAAATCACGTCTATAACATGTACAGTGAATGTTTTTAGTTTATTAATTTGCACCAAAACATTTATTTTTCTCTGAAATAGAGTAACATATTACAATTTATAAGTCCGCAGATTCAATCTCGCTATTAATTTAAGAAATTTATCAATGAAAAATGTATAAGAACTTTTGTAAGTATTACTTAAACCTTAAGACATGTCATAATCTTAATCACTATTCAACTTGTCTAAATATTTTATCCAAAAACATCAGAATCAATTAGAAAAAAATATTTCTTTTACCAAATTTATTTTTCTATGGTCTTTGTCCGTCATTGGACGTTTTTAAATGCATGCATTTTTCTCCTTTCTCTCCTAAGCTAAAATTATGTTAATTTAAAATATTTTATAAAATATATAAAAAATTAATAAAAAATAAAATAAAATACCAGAATAACATGACCTTTTTATATTGTATTGTAACCAATTTGATATTATTTATTAGGTGGTGTAAAATTTACTATTTTTACAGTAACTATTTTTAAGTCAAATGAGTTATGTTTTTTTAATTAGTTAAAACTATCAAAATATTTACTTTAATTATTTATAAAAATTGAAAACCCTGGAGAATAGACTTATATTTTCATATTTTACATAATTTTACAAATAAGGATGAAGTGTTTTTCTTTTTCGAAAAAAATTAATTATTACTAAAGAAATTAAATATATAATCTCTTGCATCCTCCATTCGAAATCTTTTAAATCAATTTTACACCTTTCAAATATTAATAAAAGTTAAATCGATAATTTTTTTCACCTTCTAGTTTAATATTTACCATAAAATAAACTTTATAATTAATGTACGGAACGTGATAGAGATATACTGAACAAACTACTGCACATTGTACAGACGTAGGGTAAATAAGACCACGAGTACACTTTGATTTTACGTGGTTTTATTTTTAGTATTGGAATATAATTTTCATGTTCTAACTAAACCCTCTTATTTTAGAAAAAAAATATTCTTTACACACATAAATTTTTACATTTATTTAATACCGTTCTTTCTTATTTTTTTATTTTCTTATTTCTTGAAAAATATAAAAATTTATTTTTTATGACTATTTTATTGTATAAATGTATGTCACCGTTATTCTTTATTTTAATTTACGCGTTTTTAGTACGAAAATTCTCTCTCTGTTTTCTTCTTCTTCTCCATGAGTACAGTCCCACCACCATTGTTAAACGAACAGTCTCCACCATCAACGAACCCACCAAACCTTAATTCTCTCAAACTCCACATTTGAACTTAACTAGAAGATTTCCGAAGCAAGAACTTCCCAATTCAAGCTCATACACGATCCATTCCCACGGTTATCACATGCAATGTTTTGACCTCGAGTCATTACATTACCACATTGCGTGCTTTTTTCGTAATCAAGGAAAACCGAATGGGTCTCTGCACTTCCAAACCCACTTTCTCCTCTACCCAATCAGCCACTCACTCCCCCACTCTACATTCTCAAGATGTTGCCGTCGCAGTCACTCACAGTCACAGCCCCGAACCTCACTTGCGCAGCACCGATGGCGAGAGCCAAAAACCTAAGGAGCTCGAGAACGGTAAGAGATCTCCCTTCTTTCCATTCTACAGTCCGAGTCCGGGCCGCTACGTGTTACCCGTCTCGCCCCGCCGCTTCTTCAAGCGATCGTTTCTGTCGCCCTCGCCGGCAAAGCACATAAGGGCGGCTCTGGCGCGGCGGCACGGGTCGGTGAAACCCAACGAGGCTCCCATACCTGAGGAGGAGGGGTTCTCTGGACTGAACAAGACTTTTGGATTCTCCAAACATTTCGGAAATAAATATGAAGTTGGAGATGAGGTTGGGAGAGGGCATTTTGGATACACTTGTGTTGCTAAGGTGAAGAAAGGAGAGGTGAAGGGGCAACAAGTGGCCATTAAAGTCATTCCAAAAGCCAAGGTTTTCACCAAAATTCACATGCAATTTATAAGTAGTATTAGTTATGATTATCATTTTATTACCCCAATAATTTTAAGCTTTTCACTGTTAGTTTTTGAAAATTGTGGTTGAATTGTCATTCCTAGCTAAGGTTTTAAATTATGTCTTATTATTGGCAATGTGGGGAATTGTGCACAAATGTGACTTGTGATGCAATTGTGGTTGTGGAGAATCTAAAAAACCTTGTGGCCGAAATCATGGTTGGGGACCGTTTTCTATAACCTTGCTCCTTACTGTTAGTTTTATTGATGTTTGGGTAGTTAGTATTGGGGATTTTACTGGGTTCGATTGTGATGGTCATGCATTTCTACTTTTCCATATCAGTTTATGCTGTCTAAAACAGTACTGATTTCTTAACAAATATGATAAAATGCTGAGGCAAAGAAAAAGACCGGCTGAAACTTTTCAATGCTTGTTTAGACTTGGGATGTAAAAGAGAGTTCCACTTGAATGGTTGCATTGCTTATAGTCAAGTATGGATCTGTTGTTTTGCTACAATTTGAGTTGAGTAAAGTTCTTACATTTCTTATTGTTATCTTTATTTTATTATTTTCCTTTTAAGCTACTTTGTTACTGCCACAGTTCCATGATTTTTGGGTCTTTAATGGGAATGGATCCACATTCGTAGTAAGGGAGATGTAGACATAAACTTTATTACGAAAATCTATTACGAATGTGGATCCATATCCAGTATCTCAGAATTTGTGATCTATTGTTGTCTATATTCCTTTTACTTGGAATACATTGAGGTAAACCTCCCTAGCCTCTTTGAATTATATTAATAAATTTATTTTTTATGAGAATAAAGCAAAGTCACACTTATATTTACTAATTAATGTACATAATTTATTTTAATTGCAGATGACCACTGCAATTGCTATTGAAGATGTGAGAAGGGAGGTAAAAATTTTGAGAGCTTTGACTAGGCACAAGAATCTAGTACAATTCTATGATGCATATGAAGACCATGATAATGTCTATATAGTAATGGAGTAAGCTTCAATTATGTTGCTTGTTTAAGTTAAATGCTCTAGTTATTGGTTTTGGCAATTTGATTTGGAATACGAAGATAACTTGTCCTCGTTTATTGGATATGCAAGGACAAGTGTAATGAGTTTTGTATTAACAGTTTTTTCTTTAAACTGTTATGCATCTTCTAGGTTGTGTGAAGGAGGAGAGCTGTTAGACAGAATATTGTCAAGGTATTCATTTATTTCAAATGAACATGTGAATTTTTAAAATTTGGATGCCACTGATGCCAATTGGGGATGAATGGAAGTTATTAGTGGCAAAATATTGAGCATAACGAGTATAAGATATCTCTTTGCTCTTTCAGAGGTGGGAAGTACACAGAGGAAGATGCAAAAGTTGTCCTTAGACAAATACTGGATGTGGTTGCCTTTTGCCATCTTCAGGGTGTCGTGCACCGTGATCTTAAACCTGAGGTGAAGTATATATGTGGTTTTTTGAGATTTCTTCTCCCCACCCCACCCTTTTCTGTTTCACAATATTGAACTCAGCTTCTTAGACTACGTAGTCAGATGTATGGAGTATCTTTTTCATTAAAGAACGACCTTTCACTTTTATGATCGAAAAATTATTTATCTTTTTGCGGAGTAAGTAGTAGAAAAAGAAAACAAAATGGAAGCTATGGGAAAGGTTTTATTGTCTGTAATTATAATCTTACTCATTTATCTTGTGTTTGTCTAAGATTTCGTAACAAATGCAAAAGGGGAAAACACAAATTTTAATGCGCCATTTCTAGATTTTTGAGGGCATTTATGAGAAGGAGCATAGTGTTCCTTTTATTCAATATTGGTTTGTGGTCATAATCATCTAGTGCAAATAGGCAATACGATACTTGCGATTTTGATTGATTTGGCATATGGGACTTGTCCTCTGATTCTTATCAAGAACAACTTTTCAAAATGGCTAATTTTTGGATCAGAACTTCTTGTTCACATCCAAGGACGAGAACTCAATCCTGAAGACCATAGACTTTGGGTTGTCAGATTTTGTTAAACCAGGTATATTTTTATTCCTTTTAAATATGTTATGTTATTTATTATCTTGGAGTTGCTTTATTTCTTGACTTTTCATTGTTCTTTACAGATGAAAGACTTAATGATATTGTTGGCAGTGCATACTATGTGGCACCCGAAGTTCTACATAGAGCTTACAGTACAGAAGCTGATGTATGGAGTATTGGAGTGATTGCATATATTTTATTATGTGGCAGTCGTCCCTTTTGGGCCCGGACCGAGTCTGGTATCTTCCATGCCGTGTTAAAAGCTGATCCAAGTTTTGATGAACCTCCTTGGCCTTCTCTGTCAGATGAGGCAACAAATTTTGTTATGCGATTACTAAATAAAGATCCACGGAAAAGAATGTCTGCAGCACAGGCACTATGTGAGTTGTCTCAGCAATGATTGCTGGTTCTTGTGCCTGTATTTATATTTGTTACTTACAACAATTGGGCACCTCAGGTCATCCATGGATTAAAAACAAGGATGTGAAAGTACCTCTGGATATTCTAATATTCAAGCTCATGAAGGCATACATGCGTTCTTCATCTCTACGGAAAGCGGCTTTAAGGGTATGTCTATTTATGTAAAATTTTGTCTGCATTTAACAGTTGATGGTGATAAAAAATAGAACCTCTTGTTGAACTGTATGTCCCATTTTCCTTTGTCATCATCTCTATTGATTTTCATTTGTATGGTTTTGTTCTCCATGGTCTCTTCTTCTTCACCTATTAATGGATATACTACTTATCTAAGAGATTTTGGAGTTAATGTTTCTGGATAAGCGATTTTATTATTCCCCAATTCATCTCAGTAGCAACCCTGTCAATTATTTTACAATGTTTCATAATTGTAACGGTTTCCTTTCTAAAATGTGTGGCGTGACTAAAGAGCATTGGTTCTTTCCGTCATTTTGGTTGTTCCTGCTGCCTTTTCTTTATTGATTACACTATATTTTCTTCTGAACAACTTACTGAAATTTTTCTTCACGGGCACTGGATCAGGCTCTGTCCAAGACATTAACTGTGGATGAGCTATTTTACTTGAGGGAGCAGTTTTCACTTTTAAATCCAAGCAAAAATGGCTCTATTAGCTTGGAAAATATCACAGCGGTCGGTTATGTTTCAATTATTTTTAAGATATTAAGGGATGGTATTTGTCATCTCACAACTTTGGGTTGCTCAGGTCTTGATGCTGAGTGCAACAGATGCTATGAACGAGTCACGCGTACCTGACTTTCTGATATCAGTTAAGTACTATGATTTAGCCATAGAAATTATTCAAATGGCATTCTGTACCTGTAGTAGTTATTGATTACGAATAATATGGGTGGCAGCTTAATGCATTACAATTTAGAAGGATGGATTTTGATGAGTTCTGTGCGGCTGCGCTTAGTGTTCATCAACTTGAAACACATGACCAGTGGGAGCAACGCGCACGTAATGCTTACGAACTCTTTGAAAAGGACGGAAACAAGGCCTTAGTCATTGACGAACTAGCTTCGGTATGTTTTATTTGACTACGATGAATTGATGATAGTTTATGCATACATACCTATTTCAAACTTTCGCGGTGTTGCAGTGTGATTTAAATATATTAATTTTCTTCATTCCTCATGATAACGAGTTACATTTACATAAGGCCTAGTTGTTTCTGAATCAAAAGAACAGCAATTTCAATATCAGTGCAAGTATAAGGCATACAACTAGTTTCAGTTGATGTAATGTCCATGTTTGCCTTTTTATGACATGATAATTTGATTTAACTTGGGTTCATTTGAACAGCGATTTAACTTAGTTTTATCTGAATAATAACCAGGTGCTTGGGCTTGGTCCATCTGTCCCTGTTCATGCTGTTCTCCATGATTGGATTCGGCACACTGATGGAAAATTAAGTTTCATCGGGTTTGTCAAACTGTTGCATGGTCCATCTAGAAGTCTTGCAAAAGCTCAATAGAGATCTAAGAAGCTTAGCAAATATCCAAGGTTGCTTGACTAAACTACACGATGATCTATCTGGCTTAGAAAATTGCTAAAAGAATCATTACAACCATATCTTCAGGTGATTTTCTTTTTTGCACATTGTGGCTCAGCATATACCTTTATAGAATTATCTCGTTCTTTCACCACTTGAGGCAAACCTGCTACAGGCGATTGTATTTTCCACTGTAAAGTTGTAGTGTATTGAAAGGCTAATCTCTAATCTGTAACTTCTTAGAAGATAAACAATGGAGGTGTGTCATTCTTGTGATCTTAATTTTTTTAATCATTATCAATATTTTGTTTTTATTTGAATAATTCTCTTTTAATTATTAATGTTATTATGCTAAAGAAATACGTAAATATTAATAAAAATTAATAACATAATGGTTAATTATATTAAAAATATAATTAATTATACTTGTGGACATAGATGTTTATATTTATAACACAGATTAAAATATAATTTATCATTATTTTTTTCATGCAATCTTTTTAAGAAAGCTTAACATCTCAATTTTTATAGATTTTATATTTTTAAATATTAATACAACTTTTTTTTTTCGCTTTGTTTTCGTCTTCAGCACAAAGACACCGTTTCTCGAAATGTGCTTAAATTTGTGCATGTTTATTTGGTAGAAGAAGAAAAATAAAAACTTTTTAAATTTTTTTAAGAAGCTAGTACATAATCATATTTATTTTTCAAAAAGTCGAACTTTGGACTTCAATATTTTTAAAAAGTAAATAAAATAATAATAGTGCTTAAAATAAATAATGATTAGTTTGTAGTGTAATGTTTTCCGAGGGGATGTGAATAATTTAAAGAGAATTTATAAAAAATATAATAATGAGTTATTAGTATTATGTGTTTATATTTAATATAATGATTATATCAATATAATTAATATGATACTGGATTACAAATTGTGATATTGTCTACTCTTCTGTTTCAATTGAATACATAGTATCATCATTTCTCTCACCTACACTGTACTTACTTAGCTTATAAATGAATGACAAATTTGGAAAAGAAATTTTACTAAAAAAAAATTGAGAAAGAAAAGAAGATTACAACATTAACATCTCAAAAATTGTGTTATAGCTTTTATTGTCTCTGCCTTTGTTAAAAGTTTGAAAAAACATTAAAAGAATATTTGGAAAACATTGATTATTATTTTATTTGAGAAGAAAAAACAATGAAAAAGATAATTATTATGGCCTACTCATACAGACCACCTTATAATTAAATTCGATATTGTTCAAAGTTTTTCATCTATTAGAAATAAGGTCAATTCATAATTTATAAATAGTGCAAACTTCATTCCACAAGCTGGTTTTGTAAGGTTGACTTTTGACTTATACTTAAAGTACACCTCTAACGTATATATATATATATATATATATATATATATATATATATATATATATATATATATATATATATGAATTTAAAACACTTGAATTTAATTCAATTTTCATATTTGAAATTAAAATTAAATTAGTTTAAACTATCGGATAATAATTTAAATAAGTATAATTTTAAACACATGAAATATGTATATTGTTATGCGTTTGTTATGATAATGGTTAAGAAAGAAAACATAATATATTGATTAAAAGCCAACAGTTAAAAACGATATTATGGTTAAATCATATTGAATTTATAAAATCGTAATACGAATCATAAATTTTATTTTTTACTACAAAAATGATAAATTATTAAAATAAAAATAATTTATTTGTCAATACTTCATTAAAATTAAGTTTACAAAATTAATCAGTTTGTAAACTTCTTATAATCTTAATCATAAGAGTTTTTTAAGGATGTAACAGAAAAAATATATACTTTACTTTTAAAATTCAGTAGAGGTGAATAGTATAACAAAATAACACCCTTTATTTTTTATTAGATTTTTAAATTTTGTTTTAATTAAAATCACACTCTTTATTTTATATTAGATTTGAATTTTGTTTTAATTAAAATTTCATTTATCTGTTTTTATTTTATTTTATTTGAATTGAAAATTTATTAAGAAAAGTTAATGTTAGATGATGTTGCAACTCACAATGTTAATAAGGTAAATTTTTAATTATGTTAAATTTTAACTAGGTTCAACACAAAAATGTGAATTTTAATTATATTTAGTTTTAATTAATATATATATATATAAACAAATTTTTAGTTACATTAAATTTTAATTATGTTTAAGTTTTATTTGAAATGAATATACTAACCAAAGAAGGTAATCAGGTACAGCAAAAGAAAAAAAAACAATTTAAAATTTTACCATTTTGTTCAACAAATTTACTGATCTTATTATGTTCTGAGTATACCTATGATTTAATTCGTAAATATTATATAAAATCAAACTACAATGGTTTTTTAAAACATCATTTAACTATTTCTATAAAAAATTCAAATATGTATTTTTAAATATATATTTTTTTAAATTTCGTATAAAAAAATTGTGAAAGTTCAAAATTCAGTAGTATCAAACTTTGGTGATTTTTTTCCCTGCACCACATTACTGTTAATTGTACTCTATTAAGATTAAGATAAGATACTTTTCCTTATTACACTAAGTCATTAATGTACTTATTCTCGTCATTATCTTTGTCATTTTTTCATTCGGGAAGAAAAAAGAAGAAGAAGAAAATAGAGGTTATTCTGAAAACTATCATTTATGTTTGAAAAATTATTTTAAAATGTTTTTTCTGAAATATTCATTTTTGAAATTTATTATATATATTTTAGAAAAATTATTATGAACATTGTATTTCAAAATGCATTTCATTATATTCCAAAATATTTGTTCTAGAAATTGTTTTGAAAATTTTAGACACCTTGTTCTGAAATATTTCCAGAACAATGATAGGTTCCCAAAGTTAAGGGGGTTTAGTTGGAAATTATGGTGGTGCAGAAGTAAAAAGCCTTGATTGAAATGATGCCCGGGCTCAAAAGCCCAGCCTTGCGTTTTGTTTCTTGAGTGCTTCATCCTACACCTCCAACATCTCATCCTGCACCTTCAAAAATTTCATTTTTAACCTTCTGACATCCTGCACCTCTAACCTTTTTAAAAATTTCATTTTTAACTTTCTTCTCTTTCTAATTAAATACATTTTATTTTCTTCTCTTTTTCTATTAAAGACACTCTACACCACCTTAATAATAATTCTAATTTAATTTAAAATTTAAATATTATTTAATATAATTTTATATTTTAATAATTATTAAAATATGATTTATATTATAATAATAACTATAATAAAAAAATAAAAATAAAAATAAAAATAAAATAATAATAATAATATAAAATTTGACTTAATATATTCAAATATATTAAATTATATTAAAATATTAAAATAAATTAAACAATTATTAAATTGTAAATAAAAACAAAAATTTTTAAAAACTTGTTATCGAAAAACAGTTTTGCTTTTTATTTAAAATTTAATCAATATTTATTTTAACTAAATATTATAGCATTATTTATTATATTTTTATATTTTAATAATTATTAAAATATAATTTATATTTTTATAATAATTTTATTAAAAATTAAAAATAATAATAACTAAAATAAGAATAAAAATAATATTAAAAATCACATTTAATATATTTAAATACATTATATTAAAATATTAAACTAAATTAAATAATTATTAAAATTGAAATAAAAATCAAAATTTTAGAAAAATTTATTTATCGGATATCCATATCCGATTATAAATTTATCGGACGTCAATATCCGATAACGTTTTTAAAATTTTGCTTTTTATTTAAATTTTAATAATTATTTAATTTAATTTAATATTTTGATATAATTTAATATATTTAAATATATTAAATGTGATTTTTAATATAATTTTTACTTTTATTACTTTTACTCTTATTTTAGTTATTATTATTTTTATTTTTTAATAAAACTATTATAAAAATATAAATCATATTTTAATAATTATTAAAATATAAAAATATAATAAATAATGCTATAACTTTAATTAAATTAAATATTGATTAAATTTTAAATAAAAAACAAAACTGATTTTTAATTTTTTAATATAGCTATTATTATAATATAAATCATATTTTAATAATTATTAAAATATAAAATTATATTAAATAATATTTAAATTTTAAATTAAATTAGAATTAATTTTAAGATGGTGTAGAGTGTATTTAATAAAAAAAGAAAAGAAAATAAAAAGATAGTTATTAAAATATCTTTAATAAGAAAGAGAAGAAAGTTAAAAATTAAATGTGCATGTTAGAAGGTTAAAAATGAAATTTTTGAAGGTGTAAGATGAGATGTTGGAGGTGTAGGATGAAGAAATCTTGTTTCTTTCAATTCAATTTTCGTACCTTTCTCAGTCTTGTCCCAACTTCTAGGGGCCTGTCCTGAATGCTATTACACACTTTCAGGAAATGGATCAGATGAGAGGAAAAAACATTGTCATGGTTTCCTCGTCTGAAGAAGAAGAAGGAGTAGAAGAGGAAGATGACGATGATGATGAAGAAGTAGAAGAGGAAGATGACGATGATGATGAAGAAGAAAGCGATTTCGATGAAGCATCCGAATCCGAATCCGAATCCGATGACTATGACGTTGATGATTCCTCTCTCTCCGATAAAGTCGTCTCCCTACTTCGTGGTATTAATTTACTAATGTTAACGAAGTTATTAATATCGTGTTCGATCAGTGCCGTTAAATTCTACGTTTTATGTGTGATTTTTCCAGAAGGAAAGGATATTCAATCTTTGAAACTAAAGGAATGCAAGGCTTATCTACGGAATCATGGCCTGAGAATAGCGGGAAATAGAGATATTTGTGTTGCCAGGATAAGGGAGCATTGGAGGTAAGGGTTTCCGATTCGAGAAGCCTATTTGACTATTGAGTTAGAAGCAACTTCAATACACGGAAGTTTCGTATGAAATTACTGACCTAATAATCATTTGTAGTTGTTTTCATTTTCTCATTGTTCTTAGAAAGAAAATTTTTCATGTGAATGAGTTTTGCTTGATTTTGTCTCAACAGAAGAAATTATGTTTGTCCTACATAGTTCTAAGAAATATTTGTGCCATATCCATTTAAGAGTAATAGAATGATTCTTTCTTTCTGAAGAAGGAAAGGCTCTTTAGTTTTGGTTTTGAGTTTATATACTTCAAACATTTTGATATCCCAGGTTAAAATACGGAAGTGGATACACGCTCTACCCAAAATCATCCTTTACCATTAATTGTACCGGTAAATTACTCTTTCCTTTTTTGCTATCATTTGCCTAACTTTTATCGTTC